CAGCACGGGGCAGGGGGTGGGTGCCCAAAGATGAGACATGCAATGGCTTTTTCCAGTGGGATGGGCATCCACCAGCTTATGGTAGATGTGAAACTCCAGCCTGGAAGAAGCACGTTGTCTAATGGGTTGGTCCATTAGCTTGGAGGCTCAGGCTTAGGCTCAGGCTTACGGCAGGATGGAGACACCGGAGCATCAGCCTCCGTGGTACCCAACAGACCGATGCTCGGACACCCAGACACACACAAACATCAGAGATCACCACCGAGTTTGGAAGAAGCCCAGATGAAGGACTAACCCAAATTCAGCGATCTCTGGCTTCCACGCATGTACACACATGGAATGATGCACCGGAGTAACCAGAACTTCCCACGGTCAGAGAGGCTGAAAGGAGCCAGGGACCAGCCTGTGAACTGGGAACAAGTGTGGAACCACCTGGTCCTGGGGGATTTACAGCAGGGATACCTGTCCTGTATTCCTGAAATGCAACTGCAAGCTGCAAATGTATCACCTTCCCCTTGACATCTTCTGAAGTTTATAAATTAATTTTAGGGACTAAGGTCTTGGGAACACACAACACGCCAGGCGGTGGCTGCGAGTGCAAAGTCGGTGAGCAAATACCCAACAGCTTTCCGTGCACAGCAGCGAGTGTTTGCACCAGGACTTGTTTCTCCCTGCGAGGGGAAAGGCTGTGCTGAGATAACTGTGTGCCTCCCAGAGCCTCTCTCCAAGCAACACCTCTTTTTACCTACCTTGGGTCTAGAATAAACACATCAGCACAATGTAAATGGCTCAGAACAGAATTCAAAAGCATTTAAGAAGCTCAAATCCAAAGAATGAGACATTTCACTCCAAATCTGCCCTGTGCTTTCCTGCTCTCTGATGGCAAAGCCCAGAACCCCCAGCAAACCCCGGTGGGTTTTTGTATTGCTGCAGCCCCAGGTGATGGGCAGAGGGGCCCGAGGAGGAGGAGAACTGCCGCCTGCCTTCCAGGTCCCTTTGGGGTACCCGTGCTCCGGGCTGGCCCTGGGAGAGCTGCAGTCCCCCCACCGCTAACCACGGGTCCCACCGTGTGTCAGGCTGCTGGAGACATCCCAAGGGACACCGCCACCGTCGCTTATTTTGCCTCTCTGATCTGAACGCTGCCCCTACACCAGACATTTCCTTTCGGAACCTCTTAACCTCTAACGACCCAAGCGTCTTCCAAAACCCTTCACTGCTGGAGACAGCCTCTGCTGCCGAGCCAGTGCCATCCTTCCTCTCAACGCAGAGTTTCCTTCCAAAACCACACGGCTCAACGGTGCAGAAGAGGTAACCTCCCTCCTGACAGTTACAGACCAGTCTCTTCAGTAGCAAGAGGTTACCTGGCCACCCCAGTCTGCTCCCAGCACGATGGACCGAGGTCCCAGGGGACCCAGTGGGACACGGCGTGTCCGTGCTGGAGCGCAGGGGCTTTCCTCTCACCTGCCAAGGACTTGTAACCAAGAAACCTGGCAATCTTTTGCTGGCAGTGCTCCTGCTCTTCGTACGTCAGCAGCTGGTAGATAAACTGCCAAATGACTTGCTTGGCTGGTGTGTCCAGCACCGGGTACACATCCACAATGAGAGTGTCAATGTTCCTGCAAAATGGGACAGAGAGAGGGCTGGCAGTGAGGGCATCCCTGCTGCACAGCCCCACCGCACCGCTGCCACGGCTCCGGTGCTTCCCAGCTGGGTCTGGGCTGCCGGGCCCCCCTCCAAGCCGTCAGCGGAGGTCCCAGGCTGCGGGCACAGGACCCAGCCCCTGGGGAGGTGGAGTTGTGCAGCTGGTGCTAACGGGGCAGCACTGGGCAGCCAGGTATGAAACCTGGTTCGTGAGTCAGCTGGGGGGGGCTGGGGGGGAGCACTGGAGAGGAGCCCTGAGAGCTGGATTTTGGCCGGCAGCAGGTAAGGGTGCTCAGGGAGGAAGGTGCTGGCAGCCTCGGCTGGCTGAGGGCTCGGTCTCGGGGTGGCTCTGCGGTTTGTCGAGGTGGGGAAGGGGCTGTTGGGAGCAGCAGGGCTGAGCAACCGATTCAGCGAGGATAGAGCAGCCTGGGGGAGGGCTGTCCTGGGTCAGGGAGCTAAGGTCGGGGTGCTTCCTGCTGGGAAACTGAGGCAGAGGTGATGGGTTAAAGCTCGTTGCAACTGCTGCATCCTTAATGCAGAGTAGTGAGAGCTTCCTATAAAGAGCTGGAAGGAGATGGCACGTGTAGGAACAAATCTCCTGTCCCAAGGTTAATGGAATGGACCATCCCTGCCTTCCGAGGGGCAGGGGAAAGCCAAGGGGTGCAGAGGCTCAGATGCTGCGGGGGGTTTGTTAGTGAAGTGCCCTGGGGACAGCAGGGACGAGGAGCAGGAGGAGCCATCGGGAGCCTGCCAGGAGTCACCTGCTCAGTCTGTCCCTAATTTTGGGCTGATTTGCCTTTTCTGTGGCGCTGGGTGCAGCCCTTGGCTGTCAGAAGCCTGTTTCCCATTCAGAAGAGTTGAATTGTGGGGGGCTGCTGGGGCTTTGCTCCTCTGCAGCCCCAGCCATGGGGCACAGGGCAGTGCCGTGGCTTTGTGCTCAGTAGTTTCTGATCTCTCTCATCATCAGTAACCTAAATATTGCATTGCCTTGGCAAAGGGAGGATTCGGATCCTCTGATCTCTTTACCAGGGCAGCAGGAGCCTGCCTGGCCCTGGCTGGTGCATCCTCACCCCGAGTGGGACCTGAGCTCCCGAGGAGCAGCCGGGCAGCCTGGCTCCGTCGGCTCAGCGGCTGCAGGAAGAGGGGGCGAGCATCTCCCAGCGCCCGGCGGGGTGGATTTATCACCATGGTGCAGAAGGGTTAAAGCTCAAGGGCAGAACACAAGGTCACTGCTGAAAGCCTGCAGCCCACTGCAGGATGGGTTTGGACCCTTGCAACGGGGCAGGGAGGATGTGCTCCGCTGCAGGACGAGGGCTCTGCCAGCCACAGCCCTTCTGTGCTGCCGCCAGGATGCTGAGAAGAGTGAGGAGATAAGGATGGAACATGGGGAGATTGACTGAAAGAGATGGAAGGGGATCTGCAGCCTTCGGGGACAGCCAGGCAGCAAGAGAGCCTGTGCTCTGGGGGACCGAGGTCACTTTCTGGGGGATTCAGGGGTGACTGAAGTAACCTCAAAAGCTAAAGGGTCAGCCCTGTGCTCGGGCAGGACACCCGGTGAGGGGTGGGACACATGCAGGGAAATACCCAGCTGGGGACATGGGAGAATGTGACCGCAGCAGAGCTGGGTGCTGGCAGCCCTGCAGCGAGATCTGCATCCCGCCCGGAGACCGACGGGGACACGGGCATCGCTGCCGGGCCAGGGACCAGCGCTGGAGGAAGGGGGCTGCCAACGAGTTACCGATGTTGGAAGAAGCCTTCCAGCGCTTTGCAGATGGTGTAGCGCTCGGGGGGGGTGAGCAGGTGCTCCAGCTGCTGGGTGAAGGTCCTTCCTTGGATCTTGATGCTAGAGGGGAGAATCTCCGCGACCCACTGCAGGGAGGTGAGGGCAGAGGAGCTGCCTGGGGAGTCGGCAGAGTCAGAGTCTGCAAGGCGCGGGTGGAGAGAGAAAAAGAGAATTCAACAGACAAAGGGTCTTAACCAGGGGTTAAAAGGCTGGTCCCGAAACCAGGGGTTGGTGCTGGGGACAGCTGGGGACATCTGTGCCCACACACAGCGGGTGCTCCGTGGAAATACAGATCCTGATGGGCTGGCACAGATGCTGTTACCCCCCAAAAAAACAGATTTAGTCGCTGGAAATGGTTGTGGCAGCATGATGACTCGGCTCCTCTGGATCTGTGGCAGCCCTTGCCTTCCTCCTGTGCCCTGGGCCAGCTGTGCTGGAGCCTGTGGCTGTTCCAGGAGGTCCATGGACCCGCTGGAGATGCACAGGGGGGTTCGGGCTGGGCTTCTGGGGTTGATCTCTTCAACCATGGGGCTTCTGAACTTTCTGTGACCACGTGCAGAGGGCATCCCTTCTCCGGCTTTCTCCAGTTTCGCAGCACTTTATGGTAATCATTGACTTCCAAAGCATCAGTCAAGGTTTCCATGTGATAAACGGCAGCAGGGAACGCCGTTTGCTTTGCCGTGCTCAGCTGCACAGTGCACTGTGCACAGCTGGGAGAGGGAACCCGACCGAGGCTGCGGGATGCACTGATCCATGTAGGAGTACAGCCAAGGTCACGGGAGCAAAAATCCCATTTTTTTCTTGATTTCTTTTGGGGGGCAGTAAAGCAGTCCGAGTGCCACTGGCTGTATTGTGAAGCGTGAGGTGCTCAGTTTTGTTTCTAGAGCACATGCAATCGAGCTGGTACCACAGGGCTCCTAATGTGACACTCGGGAGAGTCCCTGCTGCTCTGGAGGGAAGAGCTGGTCCCTAGTTCCTGGGTCTGTGCATTGCAGAGCAGCACCCCAATAATGCCCCGACCCTCCTGCCTTCGCACAGCTTCGGGATCACAGCAGTGGCCGCGCTCTGCCCTGGGCTGCGGTCCTGTCCCTGGGCTGGAATAGTGCTGACAGCCCCCTGCATCGCCCCTGACACCCTCATCTCCCGCTGCCTCGCTCTCCAGCCGCCAGCTAAATTATTCACAGCAGCCGCAGTTCTTGTGAACAGCCCAGCCCAGCCCTGGGACCTGCACAGCGGCCGGGGCTGCGCAGGGTTGGGTTACGTCGGTCAATAGACGGCACAGACTGCACGGAAAGACGTTGGCAAGGGCTGTCAAGGACAATCACACAGTAGGATGAGCCCCTCTGGAGAGCAGCCAAGCCTGAGATCAAGCCTGATCCCAGAAAGCGCGTTAAACCTGCTGAGCCTGCGGGAGGTTTGGGGCAATTCCCTCCCGTGCGGGGAATTCGGGAGCTGCCGTGGGGTTTCTGCCGCTCCGGACCACCGCTCCTCCCCACACCCTTACCGCTGGCGAAGTTGACGATCCCCTCTTCCACCACCAAGGTGGGCATGGCCCCGCTGCCCTGCAGCATCGACACCACCTTGTCATGGGAGCAGTTCCTGCGGGGACAGGAGAGCCGGGCTCAGCACTGCGGGCAGCGAGCGGCGCTGAAACGGGGGTTTGCTGCTGCCCCCGTTTATCCTGCAAAACACCTCGTCCGGCTGCTCGGAGCCAGGCAGGGTTGGGCCCCACGGCGATTCCCCTGGGCTCTCAGTCTGGGCTCGGTTTTAGCTGTGCTGCTCGGAAAAGAGCCCCCCCAAGGGAAAGCGTGAGTGGCCCCGGGAGCGGGCTCTGGGCTGCGTCCGCAGCCAGGAATAGCTGCGGGCACAGCTGCGAGCACCCCGCGGAGCCGTTACGGCAAATGAAGCCGCACTGTAAGCTGCGCTCAGACCCAGAAGGTGAACTTTCCATTTAAATGATCCAGGGCTGTGGGTCTCTCCTTGCCTGTCCTCATTCTGCATGAAAAGAAAATGCAAGGTGGATGTAAAATGTGATTTTGTAGGCAAAGAAAAAAAAATCTTGGAGTGTCCTTGGAGAAGGGCACAGGCTGCCCTGGGACAACGCCTGCCTGGGACAATGCCTGCCTGGGACAACGCCTGCCTGGGACAACTCCTGCCAAAGCGGAGCTCAGAGGAGGGTCTGCAGCTCGCTCCCTGTTCTCTGGCGATGCTGCATCAGCCAGCAGTTTGCTGGATCAGCTGAAACGTGAGACCCCGAGCACTGACAGAAGCAGCATCAGATGTTTAACCTTTAAATATTCATCACTTTTTCTCATCGTGTAGCCCCTTCTAACCCTTTGCTCTCGCTTTTTGTGCAGAAAGACCAACCCGAGGAGCATGGGCTGCTGCTGCCTGGCGGGTGCACGCTCAGCTCTGGGCTTTTGATGTGCACGGGGGATATGGAGCAGAACTAACTTCTGGGTGGAAATGCGACTGCCTGCGTGGTTTTAAACTTCTGATCGCATTCTGGGAGAGATTTGTGGTCTGGCTCGTGCTCTGTGCCTTTCAACAGCAGAGCTCCAGGTGTGTAACTCGTACCCCTGAACTCGCAGGGGCTTGAATCGGGAGGTGCAGCCAGGACCCCAGCTCCAGCATGTCTGCATGGCACACAGCCATCTGCAGGGAGAAATCAAAGGAGGAGCAGGGGTGGAGCTGAAATAACTGCCCTTAGAGCCAGTGTCTGTGAAAGACCATGAGAGGTCTGTGCGGGGCAACCCCCCGTGCACCTCGGTAAACAGCTCTTGTTTCTGTTGCACGAGAGCGAACAAATGAACACAGGGGTGCTTGCCACCTCCCCCTCCCCAGCACCCCTTTTAAGAGCTGCTCACCTCATGTCCAGACCGTTGAGGAACAGGATCCGGTCTCCGGCTTTGAGAGCAGCCTTCTCAGCCGGGCTCCCTGGGAACGAGAGGGGCTTCAGCTGGTGGCCCCCAGGTACAGGGACGGGGTCCCAGCTGGGTGCCCGGGGCAGGGCATCCCTGCGGCTGGGTTATCTGGGTGGCGGGGGCTGTTCACCGGGCACAGCGATGCCACTGCCCAACTCTCACTGGAAATGTTGGGGGGGATTTTGGGCTATTCACTGGCCACGGGCATTTTCCAGCTTGCCAAACAAGGAGCGTGTAAAGCCAGCCTGAGCTGTACCGACACTGATTAGTGAACCCGGGCGACTCCATCACTGAGCCTTGGAAAAGTCCCTTGTGCCATTTTCTAGCACACAGTGGGCACTTAAAGTTCCGAGATGAGACCAGAGATAAATAAGTGCCTTTGAATTTTCTGGCTGGAGGTTTCCTTACCTGGCAGAACAGACTCGATCCACACCGGGGCATGGCCGCGCAGCGTGAAGCCAAAGCTTCTGTTGCCTTTATAGACTCGCACAGTTCTGTGGGTGAGAAGAAACAAATGTGGAATTGGCACCCAAACAATATATGGTTCTTGTTTCCTTTCCCAGCCCCATCCAAAGTCCCCTTAGCCCGAGGGTATCTCCTGAGCACCCAGTTCCTTGATGCTTGGTGTCCTCGCAGGGTCCCTTTGGATACCAAAGTCTTTTTCAAGCAGGACCCCCCGGCTGTGCCCTGCCCACACACTGAATTCATAAATCCAGCGCCCAGCCCCTCAAATCCAAGGTGGTTTTAAAGTGGAACACAGGATATAGCTTATAAATTACAGAGAATAAGAGAGACCGTGGCTTAGAGGGCAAAGATCTCACAGGCTGATGAGAGAGGAATTAAATTCTGCTGGGAAATTTTGGAAGCAGCGTTCGGAAAGCTCCCTGCTGGGAGGCTGATTGGAGCTGGGGGATGTTCCCTGCAGGGAGCTGGGGGAAGGCAACATCAGCGAGATCATTTACAAGCAGAAAGGCTGCTGTAGGGACCGATCCTGTGCTGGCAGGGATGGAGACTGTGCTGGGACTGAATTTTGAATAAGTCACACCAAAAATTACCCTGGCAGGAAGGTGTGCTGCAGCTGAACACCCCAGAGGTACCAGCTGCAGGCAGGGGAATCGCTCGGGTCATGCTTGTGGCAGCACAGTCCCTCCTGGGAGGATTCCCTGTGCTGGTAGAGCAGATCCTGCTCCCTTGTCCTTGAGAGGGGGCTGGGAACGGAGACGGAGCTGCTGCCAGCCCCTCAGCCCTCCGGGGCTGCCATATGGGCAGCGGGAAATGGGTTAATCCCCCGTGCACCAAGGATTGTCCATCCTTCCTCCCATGGCTGTGGGACACCAAGACACCCGCTGAGGCAGGGCAGCATGGGAGAGCCTGGGGTGGCCTCCATCCCACCGGCACGGCTGAGCACCCTGCATCCCACCGGCACAGCTGAGCACCCTCCATCCCACCGGCACGGCTGAGCACCCTGCATCCCACCGGCACAGCTGAGCACCCTGCATCCCACCGGCACAAGGCAGGATGGAGCAGCCTGGGGTGTCCTACATCCCACCGACACGGCTGAGCACCCTGCATCCCACCTGTACAGCCGAGCACCCTGCATCCCGCCAGCACGGCTGGGTGCTCAGCATCCCACCAGCACGGCCAGGTACCCTGCATCCTGCTGGCATGGCCAGGCACCCTGCAGCCCACCCAGCACAGGAGTTGTCATCCCCTCGAAACCTGCGAGTTCTGTCTCAGCTCCACGCATGGCTCATCCCAACCAGCCCTGCAACAGCCAGGGGACAGATGTGGTGGTGGCCTGGAGCTGGGACAAGGGGTGCAAACATGCCCAGTGTTCGGGAGGGAGAGGTTTTTGCTTATCCTCATTCCAGGAAGATTTCACCCACTCTGCACACCGCAGACACCCCCTTCCCTGCTGTCTGCTCCCCCTTCCCTGGCATCCCTTCCCCGTGCCACCATCCCCACTAAATCTGATGCCACCACCTTGAACTCGGGGACCCCCAGGAGAGGTGTTACCTGCGGGCAGCCCCCGAGGCCACATTGCTGGTGATGAGCGAGGTGGTTTTCCGCAGGCTCTTGCTGGTCTCCTCGTGGCAGCGGGGCACGGAGCTGGCGCGGGTGGAGACCAGTAGCCGCTCCTGGTGGTCCTCGCTCCGGCTGCGCCGCAGGCGGTTGCTGTGCTGCTGGCTCTTGGAGCGGCACAGCTTGCTGATCAGGCTCTGCGACACCACCTCGTCAAACCGCTGCCGGTGCTTCTTGGGGATGAAAATCCTGGAAAATGGAGACAAGGGAGGGGAGTGAGTTGTGGGGTCAGAGCAGCCCCAACCCCTCGTGTGCTCTCCGCCTTGGTCCTCCCTGGAGCTGCAGATGCCAGGGCTGGGGACACTGGGGACACTGGGGATGCTGGGGATGTTGTTCCCAACCCCTGCACCATCGCACAGCTCCATCGCAGCAGCGAGGTTGGACCCCTGCACGGCCAGGCAGGAGCCTCGCACCCCTGGGGAGATGCTAGTGCTGCGAGGACGAGGATGGTCATGGGGACACCGCTGGGCACTCGCTCCATCTCAGGTCACCTCCTCCCTGCTCTCCATCAGCAGCCAAGTGCCTGTGACCCGCGCAGGGACCCCCGGGACCCTTGGGGGTTGCACCATGGGCACAAAGCGGGATCCTGGAGGGAGCAACGAGGGTCTATCTGCACTGCTCCCGCCCCGGCTGGGACTTCACCCTGTCACATGGGGAAACGCTTTTCCTTTCCTTCTTCCTTTTTCCCTTTTCCCTTTTCCTTTTCCTCCTGCCATCACAACGGCAAGACGCTGACCCCCAGCTCCCCGACTCCTGTCCCCCCATTTGCACATTTAGGGGTTTCTGGAGGAGCTGTGATCTCCGGGTGTTTCTATAGCAACTCTCCTCCCCGCGCCCGGGCCAGGCTGCCTCTCACAGCTGCATTTGCTCATTAGACAATTAAATCTTGTGAGGTTCGTTAGCACTCTCACCTCGTGCTGCGCGAGAACACGCTCCCTGCATTAACACCAACGCCGACACTCGGCGCAGGAGGGACGTGAGCATCACTGCCAAACCCCTGGAGACCGCGTCTCGGGGGGCACGAACTCAGCCAAACTCGCAGCTGACATCAGGGGACCCACAGCAACGTGCTGTGACATGGCTGTGACGATGGCCGGCTGCTAACGAAGGGTGGACAGAGAGGCTGGGGCTGGCAGGGGGCTCGCAGGGGTCTCCCCCACCCCTCGGGCAACTTCACCAAAGGATCCTCAAGGCTGGGTGAAACCAGGGGAGAAGGAAGGGGAGGTTCAAATCCCAAATCTGCCGGGACCAGGACATCTCTTTTTCCCCCAGCAAAACGCAGAACTCAAATGAGAGCTGACGCTGGCACTGATGGGAGCAGACAGCTCTCAAGCCATCCCGTGGCTGACACAGGCTCGTGTGAAGCGTTTGGTGACAATTTAAAATAAGTAACACATCGGTGCAATTCCCAGTCAATTTACAGCAATGAGAAAAGAGTGAAACCATGCTAATAAATAGCTCACCCGGCCGTAAGGAACGCGGGCTGATGCAGCCGCACGGCAGTGAGAGCTGGCGGGACCCCGTGCCTCTGCCCTGGGAAAATCCGGGTTCCTCGCAGGCAAAACGAGCACGCTCCCATTTAAACTGGCCAAATTAAGTTGTCCCTGCTGGTTCCGGCAGGGCTGTCCCACTTTGCACTGACTGCCGCTCTGCCTGCGGGCTGACAGACGTGGCACAAGGGGCACAAGGACACGCTTTGAGGGTTTCACCAAGCTTTGACTCCGTGCTAGAAGTAAAACAGCATCTTAGCAAGGAGAGGAGCTAAGTGACTGGTAAAAATAATCCTATTAAAGCATGCCAGATAGTTTCCTTCTGCAAAACCCTTGGAGATAATTTGCTCAGGTCTGGTCCTTACCGAGGGACCCACCAAAGGCAGCACGGGGGGTGTCGTTAGGCAGCGTTGATGCCTCTGCTCCTGCACAATCCCACCCATGCAGTGTGCCCCAGCACTGGCACTGGTACCAGCACGGGGTGGATGATGCCCAGTGCTTAGCAGGAAACTGCAGCTATTTCTGCTGTCCCGTGGGACAAACCCGGCTTTGCCTGTTGGTGTGGCATGGAGGTACAGTGCCCAGCTGGGGTTCCCCTCTCCCTGCAGAGCCCACAGGGAGCAGGGATGTGCCCACCCTGTTTGCCAAGGTCAGCCTGGGACTGGGGACAGACATCGTGTCCCAGCAGCTTGCAGGCTGCACGTGGCCATGGGAGGGCTTGGGAGCCATGCACCATCCTTGTGCCTTCAGCCTCCTCCTCCTCGTCCTTGCATGCTCCAGGTCAGCCCTGGCTGCTCCCTGTTGGAGAGGGGATGGGAAAGGCGTCCCCAGCTCTGGGCACTGCATCCCTGCGCTTGCTCCCCAGCCCCTGGCACTAACCCTCCTCTGCAGCCGTGTCAGCACACGCTCCTCAGCAGGATTTGCTCTGCTCTAGCGCACGAATGCAAATTCAGGGCATTTTCCAGGCCAGGAGAGGCCCCAGAGGCTGCAATATCTCCGTCACCTTCACTCCCTCCCCAACACAGCCCAGCGGGACAGCAGCACATGGCTGCGCGGGGAAACCTGGACAGTCGCACCCCAGGATGCTGGATGCTGAGATCCCTGGTGCAGGGATCCAGGTGTCCCCTGGAGTGGGGTGGAGGGAGCAGGTGACACAGCCCCAGGTTTGCTCAGAGCTTGTGCTCAGCTGGGGCCGGCAGCGAGGGGTCCCTGGTCCTCACTCCATCACACCCCCCGCACCACGCAGCACCCCAAACCCCATCCTCACCGCACACCCCTGGGGAGGACGATAGTCACGAGACAAAGCA